TAGCGTTTACAGCGTGCTTCCGTCTCCGCGCTGTTGTCGCCCTGGGATGACGTTAGCTACGCGGTTTCGTCGAGCGCGCTTTAGTTGAACGCGGTTTTGTGGTGGAACCAAATTGAAGACATTTCATCATGTCCTCTGACTGCTCATTTGTGGATGTGTCCTGCCAGTCTGGCTATAAAGAGATAAAAGTACATAGATGTCCATATGTACACCCATGTGGCATGGAGAGACATACAAATATATATATATTTTCCCCATCATTCAGAATTTATAAAAGAAGCAATACTGTCAACATTTTATGAAGCTATTTGCAAGAGCGATTATAGGTACCTACATCAAATACTATTTGATATGAACATAGTAATTATTTGGAATTTTGTACAAAATATCCCTTTCTGAGACAATGGCTCTAAAAGGGAAAGCATATTCATATTTCCTTGTCTTAGTACTTTAAGAATCTGTATAAAGAAGCTGCAAAATTTACCCAAGCACTAGTTGGCAGCAAAGAGTGAGTTTTATCTTTTTGCTGCCACCCAGTGGTCACCTGATTTTTGCAGTCCAAATCTGGCAGTACATATCTGTATGTAAAATCACAATGTGGAGAGTTTTGGGGAGGCCTTAACAAAAATCAGTGGTCAAACATTGACCTGATGTGTCATGTTGTTAACAATAAAAGGGTCTGAATAAAGGAATAGTGAAATGAATTTAAATTTGTGGTTTTCCTAACACACCTCAGTACAATGAATGCCCAGAATATGAACTAACCACAATTGATCATCTTCCCATAGCAGTAAGTCCCAAGAGATTCTCTCTATAATGATTTATGTCTAGGCAAAGAGCCTGTCTAATGAAGAAAGGTTTCAAAAAAGAACAGTAATGAAACTCTCCAACCGATATTGTACAAAACAGAGCAATACTCTTCTGTGACAATCAAACAAATTTCTTGTATATTAACATCTTGTCCTACGTCTCATTCCCTTTCTTGTCTGAACACATGTTCTTTATTCTAAAATTTTGATTTTAGAATATGATTTTGCTTCCATTAGAAATTCAACAAAATGTCCAGTCCCTAAATACTTATGGTAGTGGGTCTGCGTACTTGAGAGACCGCCTCCTGCCAATTACCTCCCTGCGACCAATTAGATCACATAGATTA